CCTCAGCCTCCCAAGTAGCTGGGACTACAGGTGCTCCCCACAATGCCTGGCCATTATTTGGTTGCAGCCATCATTGTTGTTTGGCGGGCCCGGACTGGGGATTCAAACCCGCCACCTTAGGTGTATGTGGCTGGCGCCTTAGCCGCTTGAGCCACAGGCGCTGAGCCTGTCCAAGGTTTTTATTGGGAGCTGAACACATATAGGCACCCTCTGTCTAGCATGTACCAAAACTAAAGACTCCCACAAGGAAAACAGGTATTCAGTATAAGCCACATTCTACAAATGTTTAAGTATAATGTGCCACTTAGGTTTAGTGGAAACTCTTCCAAAATCAATCGAAGTTCCTAGATGCCAGCCAAAACCCAACTTTAACAAATAAAAGGATAGTACTACAGGCCTACGTTAATTCTTTTTCTGTACAATGTCATAACCAAATAGGTTAATTTCCAGGAAGACAAAGTTGGTTGTGCCTTTGAAAATCAATATAATTCATCATATTTGCAGAATAAAGGGCAAAAATCATATGGTCATTTCAATAGATGCAAAAAAAGCACTTAATAAAATGTATCTTAAGTCTTTCAGCAAACTAGGAAAATAAGGGACTTTCTTAACCTCATAAAGAGTATCTAGAGAAAAATCTATACCTGGCCAGGCACAAAATAGTTCACGCCTATAATCCTAGCACTCTGGGAGGCCAAGGCAGGTGAATTGCCTGAGCTTAGGAGTTCAGCTTGAGCAACAGTGAGACCCCCTCTCTACTAAAAATAGAAAAACTGTGGCAAGAGGATTTCTTGAGATCAAGAGTTTGGGGTTGCTGTGAGCTATAATGCCACAGCACTCTACCCAGGGTAACAGAGTGAGATGCTGTCTCAAAAAAAAAAAATCTATTTCAAATTGTATATAAAACCAGCACATTGTACTCTATGATTACATTAATGTACACAGTTATGATTTAATAAAAATTAAAAAAATCTATAGGTAACACGTTAATAGTGAAATACTGAATACTTCCTCCAGAGGTAGGAACAAACAAGAATACCTAGTATCACCACTTCTATTCAGAAGTATACTGAAAGTCCTAGCCAGTGCAATAAGGCAGGAAAAAGAAATTGAAGTTATAGGGATTGAGATGGACGAAGTTAAAACATCTTTATTTAATCATGATATGATTACATATAAGAATAGCCAAAAGAATCTACAAGAGCCAGTTAGCAAGGTTACCAGATGTTGGGACAGACAGTTGGCCACGTGCCCTAAGCTTCTCTGCATATTTAACTGACTGTGCCAAACTGACAGTTCCCAGATTGGGCTAGGCATAGTTAATCACACCTATAATCCTAACACTCTGGGAGGCCAAGACAGTTGGATTGCTTGAGTTCAGGAGTTCAAGACTGACCTGAGCAAAAGCAAGATCCCATCACTGCTAAAAATAGAAAAACTAACTGGGCACTGTGGCAGGATCCTATAGTCCCAGCTGTCAGGAGGATGAGGCAAGAGGATCACTTGAGCCCAGGAGTTTGAAATTGCTGTGAGCTATGATACCAGAGCACTCTAGCCTGGCACAACAGAGTGAGAAGAAAAGAAAGAAAGAAAGAAAGAAAGAAAGAAAGAAAGAAAGAAAGAAAGAAAGAAAGAAAGAAAGAAAGAAAGAAAGAAAGAAAGCAGGCAGGCAGGCAGGCAGGCAGGCAGGCAGGCGAGAGAAAAGGAAAGGGAATGAAGAAGGAAGGGAAGGGAAGGGGAGGGGAGGGAAGGGAAGGGAAGGGAAGGGAAGGGAAGGGAAGGGAAGGGAAGGGAAAGGAAAGGAAGAAAAGAAAAGAGAAAAGAAAAGAAAAAGAGGCTTGGCACCTGTGGCTCAAGTTGCTAAGGCGCCAGCCACGTACATCTGAGCTGGCAGGTTCTAATCCAGCCCGGGCCCACCAAACAACAATGACGGCTGCAACCAAAAAATAGCCGGGCATTGTGGCGGGCACCTGTGGTCCCAGCTACTTGGGAGATGGAGGCAGGAGACTCACTTGAGCCCAGGAGTTGGGAGGTTGCTGTGAGCTGTGATGCCACAGCACTCCACCCAGGGCGGCAGCTTGAGGCTCTGTCTCAAAAAAATAAAATAAAATAAACAGAAAAGAAAAAGAAACACTGAGGTAGGTGATTGCTTGAGCACATGGGTTCGAGACCAGCCTGAGCAAGAGTGAGACACCCCCCCCATCTCTAATAATAGCTGTGCATTGTGGCAGACACCTGTAGTCCCAGTTACTCAGGATGCTGAGGCAAGAGGATTGCTGGAGCCCAGGAGTTTGAGGTTGCTGTGAGTTGTGTCACCATGGCACTCTATCAAGGGCAACAAAGTGAGACCCATCTCAAAAAAAGAAAGAAAGAGAGAAAGAAAAGTGGAATAAAAACTAAAAAAGACAGTTCCCTGATAATAAGCACATAGGCAATTAAGTAGGCTAAGACAACCATAGTGTTACTACCTTGTAATTTCTCTTTCCCCTGTGGAAAAAGTCTGGCTTTATTTGCTGCTTCATAAAACAGGTGCCCTGGGTTCCTCAGCTGTGGCATAACTCATTGTGTGTGTCATCCACTGGGCTCATTTTATCACACATAGGACTTCGGGATAGGGAAACCAGGCTGCCATGCTGTTGTTCCTGCTGTTTGCTGTACTGTCTAATTTTGGCATCTATGGAGTGTGGCATACTCTGACAAGGTCAGCGGACTTTTTCCTAAAGGGCCAGATGATAGTTAAGGCCATGGGCCACATGGTCTCTGTTTCAACTACTCAACTTCACTACTATGGCATGCAAGCGGCCACAAACAATATGTAAGTGGGCATGGCAATGTTGCCCCCCAAACTTTACACAAACGAGCAGTTGGCCCACCTTCCTTACATATGAGAGTCAGAGCAGGAACTTGTCTGATGTCTGATGTCTAGCAAGCAGTGGAGAAAGGATTGCAGGATCAGGACCCCTTTCCGCCCTCTCCTTGCTCAGAGCTTTGCTAGACTGGCCCTGAAGAAAGGCATTTAAGGATTTCCTGCCCTCCAGCTTGTCTTTAAGTTCTGCAGAAGGGAGGCACAGAGATCAGAGTAGAGAAGAGGGAGGAGGTGGAGGTCAGGCTGGTTATCTAACTCCTAGTGGGAGCCTTCTATACACCCACTGCTTTGCCCCCTGTCCCAAATCCTTGAGCCTGGTAGAGGACAGCAAATCCTCTGTCCAGGCTCAAGGATTTGCTTCTGTGCCTTCTCTTTTAGGACATCCTGCCCCACCCCAGCCTGACTAGCCAGGAGTATAGCAGTTTAAAGGTTAGTCACTCTTCTCAAATTACCTAGTTTGAGCATGCCAGCTGTTTACTGGCTTATTTAACCTGACGGACAGCAGAGGGGACAGTTTCCCCGTCAAAGCCCCCTGTCCTTTGCACTCCCCTACCGGTAGCCACAGGCTTTCACTGCTCTAAACTGTCATCAGGCTTCAGAGCCCAGGTCAGAAGCCATCACAAGAAACTTCCTTCAGCTTCCACCTGGGAGGACTGTGCCCTCTCAACGCCCACGGCACTTTGTGGGTCACGTGGTGATCACGTTTAATCTTCTCTTGTCCTTATTCATTTGTGCCCCCGGAAAGGAGGCTCTTATTTCCGACTCATTTTGGTCTCTTAACTGCGTGGTGCTAAACCCTACCGGCATTTGCAAAGAACCATTTCTCATTTTCAGACGAAAAAGAGAACTGAGGCCGGGCGCGGTGGCCCACGCCTGTAATCCTAGCACTTTCAGGTGGATCGTCCGAGCTCATGAGTTTGAGACCAGCCTGAGCCAGAGAGAGACCCCGTCTCTAAAAATAGCTGGGCGTTGTGGAGGGCGCCCGGAGTCCCAGCTACTTGGGAGGCCGAGGTAGGAGAATCGCTTGAGTTGAGGTTGCTGTGAGCTGTGATGCCCCAGCACTCTACTGAGGTGACAAAGTGAGACTCTGTGTCAAACAAAAAAGAAAAGAGAGGAAAAGAAAACTGTGGGAGTAGCGTCTATGGGCCAATCGGCTGGTCACACAGTCACAACTGGCCACTTCTGTCCAACGACTGTAACCCGGGGGAGGAGCCCGAGAGCTGCCCCTGGAGTTCTGCGGACGGCGGCTTCGTGGGTGGCCACTGTGCTCCCCTAGGTTGAGAAAGGAGACATGGAAGCCAAGTCCACTCGGGGCCGAGGTGAGATCGCCCCCGCCCAGGTGACCATAGAGTCTGGCGGGCGGGGAGAGGGGCCCGAAGCCCGGGCCGCTCCGTCCCGGCTTCCGGCAGCGCCTCGCTGCTCCGGGAGCGGCTGTAGCCGCGTACGCAGTTTCCATGGGGACAGAAGATGGCGCCGCGAGGTGAGATTCCGGAGGTGTGTGAGTCGCTGGCCCCTATCCCTTCGGTGCTCCCCTGCCCCAGAGCTCGACATCAACCCTCTGTCTTTGACTGTTGGGAACATCGCTGCTCCTTAGCCCAAAGCGGGGTTCCGCAGCCCCGCCCACCCTGGGTGCTCAGGGACTCGAGGTGCGGGTCTCAGACACCCCCAAGTCCTTGGCTGGCCTATTCTAGGTTGGCATGGAACGGGCCAAGCTGGTTTCTGTGTTCTGCTTCCCCTCCCGGCGAGTGGCGGGATTGGATCTTTGAGGAACCTTTCAGCTGTGATTTCTTCCGAGTTACCGCTTGACTTTCACCCCCGAAACCGAAAGAGTAGAGTTAGACGGTGATTCCCGGGAAAGAAGGGGAGTGAAGGAAGCCCCTTTCGCGTCCACCTCCTAGCCTCCGCCACCTCATTATCAGCAATCAGAAAAGTGGCGGGTCCCGCTAGCTGCGTCCTTGTGTTTTCTCCAAGTTAGACACTGCACCGTGCAAGGAACAGAGATCAAGTAGCGCTCCCTCCGGTCCCACTTCTTTATGCTCTTTTCAGGTAAACGGTTGTCCTCAACGCCTCTGGAAATCCTGTTCTTTTTGAACGGGTGGTATTATGCTACCTATTTCCTGCTGGAACTCTTCATATTTCTGTATAAAGGTAAGGCCCCAACATCCCTTCCCCACTTCAGCCCAGAACCACCTGTCACCGAGAACCTTCTTGTTTTACCTTCTTTTCTGCCATCTGCAGTTCTTTTTCAGTACAAAGCAGAAATCACTTCATCAGGTGGCTTCTTTGAGAATGAGTTTGTAGGAAGCCCCTCAGCAAGAATTTCTTGTGCTGGGGAAATGCAAGTTTCTCTGTTGTGGCTCTTCCTATATCACTTGTTTTTGCCAAACTCCACTTTAAGCCCATTGGTGACACTCAGAAACTCTTTAGTGTCCTGTACACATGCACATCCAATTATCTGAAGAGTGGGAGTCCCCACAGTCTTTTAGTTGCAGTATGAGTTAGTATATCCTGCAGCTGCAATAATGCCCATTTCTCACTAACTAGTTCATGGAAAGCTGAGGCTGATGTCCTTTTTTATTTCCAAGTGCGGCAGTTCTTGTGGGTGATGTTGTATGCTGTTTGCAGACTCTGGCTTATGTATTGGCAGGTCTTCTGCTACCATATCCAACGGCCAACTTAGTGCTAGATGTGGTGATGCTCCTCCTTTATCTTGGAATTGAAGTCATTCGACTCTTTTTTGGTGAGTGTTATCCAGAGAGTATTTCCATTCCTTATGAAACAAGCTGGTATCTGTAACTTGATTAAGAAAAGTACATGACCTAGGTTCACTATCAGAGATTAGATCTGGTGGTATATCCCATTACTCCCTCTTTGAAGTTGCTGCTTTATGTTTTGGGGCTGGCAACCCGATTGTTGCTTGATAGTGCTAGAGGTGGACAATAGCATAGCATATTAGATAACTCCTTCCCAATTGACTCACTGTTGCAAGAGGGTATAGTTCCTCCCACTGGTTTTCTTGGAAGATAAATGCAGTTGTAACTCTATGTCCAGGGCAGGTAGTAGATGCCTGCACAGATCAGCACTAATATCCCTTCTATTCCTCTGAAAAAATTACTTGCAACACATATAGGAAAGTATAAAGACGACTCACATAAATCACTAAGGAAAAGACAAAGTAATTTTAAAAACTGGTAAGGGACACTAATATAGGCAGGTCGTATAAAAAAAATAAGTAGAGAGAACCAGTAAACTTGACACGATACCCAAACTTAGGATTGGTGTGCTCCCACTTAATGAGCACAATGTAAAGGTATGTGGTATACCTTTTGGATGCAAGACGCAAGAGGGACTCTACCTAACAAGTGCAAACATTGTAACCTAGTTGTTCGTACCCTCACATTAACCTGAAATAATAATAAAAAAAAAATACCCAAACTCACTAACAAAAAGTAAATTTAGGCAGATCATGTTGGCTCATACCTATAATCCTAGTACTTTGGAGGAGACCAAGGCAAGAGACTCACTTGAGGCCAGGAGTTCAGGACCAGCCTGAATAAGAGTGAGACCCTGTTTTTTTTAAAGCAAATTGAAACAATAAGGTAACTCTTTCCACTTATCAGATTGGCAAAGATAAAAATATTTACAATACCCAGCATCAGAGAGACTGTGGGGAACAGATTATATACTTCTGTGGAAATATAAATTAGCACAACTTTTTTGGTAATAGTTATTATTATATAAAATTTATACTTTTAGCCCTAACAGTTTCACTTTTAAAACTGGATTACAAAAAGAAATACGTCTACAAATATGCAAAGATAGCTATATGAAGATTTTTATTACCACTTTTTTTTTTTTTTTAGAGACAGAGTCTCACTTTGTCACCTTCAGTAGAGTGGCATGGCGTCACAGCTCACAGCAACCTCCAGCTCTTGGGCTTAGGTAATTCTCTTGCCTCAGCCTCCCAAGTAGCTGGGACTATAGGCGCCCACAACACCCAGCTAATATTGCCACCACAAATTTTGTAATTATCAAAACACTAGAAACAACCTAATCATCTGTGTAATACAAGGTTAAATAAAGGTGCTGATCTAGTGGAGTCATCTATAACCATTAAAAGAGAATTAAGGTAATTATACACATATGTATGGAAAAATGTCTCTGGGAAAAAAGTAAGTTGCAAAACAGTATGTATAGAACATGATTCTACATTTTTTTTTTTTTTTTTTTGAGACGGAGCCTCAAGCTATACCCCTGGGTCGAGTGCCATGGCATCATGCTCACAGCAACCTCCAACTCCTGGGCTCAAGCGAGTCTTCTGCCTCAGCCTCCCGAGTAGCTGGGACTACAGGCGCTCGCCACAACGCCCGGCTATTTTTTGGTTGCAGCCATCATTGTTGTTTGGCGGGCCCGGGCTGGGGATTTGAACCCGCCACCTT